TAGGTAGGTTTTCGATATCACTAATAGATCAGATACATGAGATGTTTCACCCTATTTAGTTTAAGATGATGAAAGGCTGGTAGTTAAATTTTTCTATTGTGATAGTCATAAAACTTACGTTATAATCGAATCTCATATAGCCTTGCTTCACAAAAGGTATTCTCATCCTAGGTGAGGTGTAAACTGCACTCCAACTTAGATGAGAATATCTTTTGGGAAGAAGCAGGCTATGTGAGATTAAATGGTGTGTGTATTTATCATCTTAAATAAGGTAAACACATCTCATATATCTGATCTACTAGTAATGTATAAAACCTACTTACAAACAAGAAATAGAGAGGAAGAGTCAAACAACTACAGATTCGTTAAAACTGCTGACTTTGCACAAAGCAAAAGGTCTCTCTAAAATATTGATTTAAAAATAGACAATTTATTCCATAATTATTTGGGATAAACTAGCCTGTACCACTTGCTCAGAGAGTCCACTGGCCAGTTCGGCATCCTCTTCATCAGTTTCTCTGCTTAGTGTTGATGAAATGCCAGTCAGGTGTGTCCGAGTCTTAGGCGGTAGAGGTGGAGATAATGGACTTCCAGTATCATGAAAAGGTAACAGAGAAGTAGCGGACTCATCAGTAGGCCACATATTATTGGTATTAGTCGAGAATATCGAATGCCCCACGTTTGGATCAAGAGAACTACAACTATCATCACAATCACCTCCCCCACTACTGTCAAAAGAGATATCAGCTCCTTGAACGACTTCGTTGACTTCATGAGAATCCGAGCAGTATGGTAGATGAAGCACTGGTCCAAAAGCAGAAGGAGTGGGTGGAGCCTCTCGGTACTGTGCGGTGGAGTATCAATAAAGTATGTTCTTAGTTAATACGAGCTAATAACATGCGCAGAAAAACAAACTTGAGACAGGAAAAAAAAGTCCTACTATAAAGCAATTAAAGAAGTGCGTAACAGTCGCTTTTTGGGAAAAGCGATAGAATAAGCTATCAGCAAATACAAGTACTTGTAGAATAATCTTAGCAAAAGT